TGCAGAGGTTGATTTGGACAGTCAGGCTTCGGGCCGGGCTTAAGCTCAGGGGAGAGCCTCTGCATTGCGATCGCTCTCCTTCGTTTTCCGGCCCAGCGAGCTCAGCGTTGAGTACCAAGCAAAGCCTTTGCAGCAACCTAAGACCTATGGTCGTTGCATGAATGCTGCGAGCCTTGCCTATGGCGCAAGACTGCCCGATATAATCTTCATCGGACCAGCAGCTGAAGTGCTTCGGGTTCATCTTCGAGCCGTTTGCCAGCTTGCAGAGACATTCACAGAGGAACGAGTGCATTCTCGGACGCACTTTCCACCTTGGACGATGCTCAGCCAGGCAGTCCTTCGCACACATGGTGTGCAGCTGAACATACAGCAAGCCCAGACTGTAAATCCGCTTTGCAGTGGCCTCGTCGAAGAACATGTCGTTTCGCTCCAGCTCATAGTTGAAACTCATGAGCGCCCACATCATGACAGCTGGCCTCCGCAGCTCCGGCACAGTCGTGTCTGCCAGAAAGTGTGCCGCCCATGAGCACAAAACCTTGTTGGCGAAACCCTTGGAAAGGCCCAGCGGATAATCGTACTGGATGCTGTCCACATGTAGCTTCTGCAAGCCTTGTCAAGCAAAAGCAGCAAGGATTTACTCAGCTAGCCCAGTTGCACAGAAAAGCAAAAAACTGTTCATGCTTTCGAGAAGCTGAGTTCCTCGACGATGGATCTGTCGAGGCCATATTGAGAGCAGAAATCTTGCACCAGAGTCGCCACTTGTGACAAAGCCGTATCGTAACTGACAGAAGCTTGGAAGCGAGGATCGAATGTAATGATCTCCAGAAGAACCGATCCAATCGAGTCCTTTGCGGCACCAAGCCACAACACGTGCAGCAGGTCGCAGGCTTCCATGTCCATATGCCAGCTTTGCAAGCGTCTGAACCTAAATTTCGTGACTGCTCTACAGTTCAGTTAACCTTTTCACCACTATGCCTCAAAAAAAACGTATTCAGGACATGAAGCGGCAGGTCATCGGGCACATTCGCGTGAAGGTTTGCAGAAACCTCCTCCGGCTTGTTGAAACTCAAATGCAATGAGTCCAACCAATGCTCATCGGGACCTTGGCCGCACTTGCATCGACGGCAAAATGCCAAATGCGAGTAATCCTTCTTCTCGCACAGCCACTCTTTCTTAAACTTCCAGTCTCCCTTGCCGGCACAATATTGTAATGTAGCATCACCACGAATCCCTGCAGTAGAAGGGTGAGCGACAGCAGCTAAAGACTGAACCACGGCTGTTTGCAAGGCTTCCATTGTCAAGCATTTCCCAGAGCTAGAGTAAGCGAGGTTGGCCGATCTGATCACCTCAGATCTGGCACAAAATGTGTTGTGACACTGGTACCAACAGCAGCAACGCGTTAACTCCTGTCTGCAGCAAAAGCAGCCGCTATGGGGAACTTCCGGAACAGCACGGAGTTGGATTGGGCACCCATCACATGCCAATTGAGGATCAGCAAATTCCTCTCCTTCTTCCCTTGTCCCTCGTCCCCATGGACGAGGACAGGAATAGCCGATTTGCGAGCGGAGGCATTGAAGTCTGTGTTCACATGGTGTTGCCTAGCACAATGCTTGGTTTCAGTATACATAGGAGAAAAAAATATATATATATGTATATATGTATATGTATACAAAAAGAAAGTTCC